CTTTCCTAATTAAAATTGCCGAGCATGGTGAAACATGGCTTCTCGTTTAATTGAAAAAAAAAATAATTACGTTTAATGCCAGCAAATTGTAGCGAGCCATGTCAAGTTCCCGTTCTAACAGACCCAGATCTCGTCAAAATAATGCAAGAGTTCACTGAACTGCAGGCTATGCTAATCACGGTGATTAATTTGTACAACGTCGTGCGACCTGACAACTTAATTTTCGCAAACTCAAGATATTCGTGTCGGTCAAACCTCATCTCGGATGATTGATCTGAAAACGAAACGAAGGAACGATTTCGCCGGAACGTACACGACTGCGCGACAATAAAGTGCGATGCCGCAGCAATTTGGCTCAAAATGTAGTCAATAAAGACCGTATCGGTAATTCGATAATGTGTGCACCGGCGGTTATTGCATTAAGCGTGCCAAGCACGGTACATCGGATGTACTGCCGGAGCGCGAGCCCACGTTGCGTCGCAACACTGTGGCGAATGTAGCTATTTCGAAATTCAAAAAACATGCCTCAGTGGTCGAATTGGTGAGAGACGCCCTCCTAGAGAGTAGGGAAGTCCAGGTTCAAAGCCTGGCTGAGGTAATATTTTTCGCAATCAATTTTCTGTATTAAAAACATTAGCCAGTTAATGTCGACTAAAAAGCAACGATTTATTACTGGCAACTTAAAGTGATCTCTTTCAAAAAACAGGGTGCTAGAGAGGTCTTAGCAGCGTGATATCGGGACATTACAGTATCCTCATTTACGCACTGCCGAGCACCCACGCCCGCCACGGAGAACCGTTGGTTCACGGTGTAGCGTAAACGCTATTACCGGAGTGTTCGTGTGACAATTGTATTCAATGCCATCCCCCGTAAGTATACGTACGGTAACGCCGAGCGAATAGTCGCGCGCCCGATTCCCGTCTCCCTCTCAGCTGCGATATCAGATTCCTTTCAATTCAAATGACGTCACCGGTGTTCGCATCTGGAGAACCGCCGCCGCCGCCGTCGCCGCCGCAGACACACAACGACAACGATGAAAGTCGACGCAGGAAGAACAACTCGCTGCGATGACTACTTGGGTGCATGGCGCGAGCGCTCATCTTGATCGCTCAATGGAACAAGACATATGAATAGTCGTTCGCCTACGCGAGATGCACCGATAACGACCGAAAAGCCTGGTAAATGAATTCGCCTGCGCGCTTTTAATGCCGCGATCGATTCCGCGAGCGAATGCCGAGAAACGTCATTTAGCGTGTCTTCTCGATCTGAGAGACAGCTTCCATCTTCCAAGTATGTCCAATAAATTAAGAAATAAGCTCCACCTCCTTCCAATTTTCTCTCTTGATAACGTACATAATCAGTTCTACACTTTAGTTTAATTGCTAATAATATATTAGCAATTTCGATGTATATGTTTATGTACGTATCTATGTATATAGGTGTCCACGTGCCTTGCCCTACTCCTCATCACGTCATTTACTTTAGTTTGCCCTTTCCGAGTCGTAGAGCAGATGGCGAAAATCATCCCCGGTTTTCTCAGGAGGAAATTTGTCCCCCCTGCCTAGAACGAAGCGTTGATCGAAAAGACGCTGGTGATAACGATCGGATCCGAACGATGCGAGAAGAGCCCAGAAAACTTCAAGTTACCGTTTGCTTCCGGCTGCTCCCTCGGCGCGAACACCTGCACGCGCGGATGCGTGCCTCGTGTGCACACGCGTAGTACGTTCACGATCTTGTGACACGAGTACCGGTAGCCGGCAGGCAGTCCCGCGGACGACATAACGGCAATATCGCGTCGTGACGTTTCGGCGAAAACTGTGTCGAGATTTACAACTTGACGTAACTTCAACACGAACGACGTTTTCCGCGTCTTCGCGGATTAGACAGAGTGTACCCGTCTGCTCAAACTTTCAACAAATTTCCCTGAGAGTCTTCAGCCGAAGCTAGAGCGTGCTCTTTAAATAGAAATTGTTTATGAATGTTACTATCAGAGGAAAGCCCCCTATTATGAGATAGCAGGCTTTCAACATCCAAATTCAGCCACAAATCAGCCCCAGTTGTCGAGCAGGTAAGACGCCCGTCACGGATTGAGGGAGGTCCCAGGTTTGAATCCTGGTTGGGGTAATATTTTTCGCAATAAAATTAATTTACAGGACGGGGAAAATGGGGGGAGGGAGAGAATTGAATGCTAAATATAGCATCAGAAAAATGCGAATTGCATTTGAAAAATAATCATCGAATCGAATACGTAAATCTGCTGACGACAATATTTCCACGTATATGATAAACTGCGTTATGTCCGGAAAAGAAATCGGCGCGTAGTACTAATGTGGAAAAGAAACGGTATAAAGATTCACGATTTTCAGAAAGATTTAAGATTTACAAAGTTGGGCTACCTACATCTTGCCTTGCGACCCACATTGGCGTGTTACCATATATTGTTCAGCCACAAATCTTACCTCGCAACGTTTGCACGATCCAACAATGAATTTTCCACTGAACACATTTCACTCCAAGGGCAATAAATTCATGGTGGAACCAACAGATGATGCCTATTAATTTAGCAGAAACCCTACTATCGCATACCAGAAGCTTGTCTCATAATAAGGGACTTTCCCTCTAATTGGTCTTTTCAGTTCTTTCCCGACGGGAAGGGAAATAAGAATTGAAACAAAATTGCTCACACGAAAACCCCTCGGGTTCTGGTAAAATTTTCGGAAAACTCGATATTTCTCCACGACAAATGTTCTGAAGATTAGAAACCTTGTCAAGTTTGTGCAATGTGCATATATGTATGATCGCGCGAGTCGTCCAGTCATCCAGTAGCTGCCAGAGGAAAGGCAGCCAAAATTGTGCGCGCAGCTTGAAACGGTCATCGATTACCTTAGCCGCAAGCGCATCCAGAGTGACGCGTCTTTCGAAAATAGTGCTCCGCAGCAAAACGCATAATTGACCCAATTGAACCGGTACGGTGTTTATGGAGAGAAAGAGATGCCGGCCTCTCGCCAAGGTTAGTCGCTGATTCCCGCATTCTGCGGAGACTTGGAATCATGGCGCACAACTAATATGGCATCCCGTCGTTCCACTTACGTTTGGATCCACTTAAGATTTGCGCGTCTCGTGCCGAGACACGCCGATCAAATTCGATCGTGACGAGACGTGTCTTCGGAAACGGCGCGAGTTTCCATTTCTCATGGTGCAACTTTCGGTTTCCAATTATACGACGATCCCGTTCACGGCTAACCGGTGCGCCTTGTTAAAGGCGAGGATTACGAGGGAAGCAGAGAGAATCTCGGCGGAATCTCATTTGTTATCGGGTGCATCGTGCCGAAGGAGCGGCATTTATATACGCTGTGTAGAAAGTATCGAGTGCGCGTGGCACACTATCGAGAAGCATTTTTGCCCTCGGGGTCGATCACTGAAACCGGAACGGCGCGCGGCGCGACGGTGCCGGTGAAACGGCCGGAAACTGGAGGCAGCTCGACGCGGTCGCTTCGTTAAAGCCTGAAATCGCGTTAGCATCGACGTTTTCTCGCGCGAGCGTCGTGGTAGAGAGAACAAATCGCCGGAGATCGGCCGAACGAGAGAGCGAGACACTCGCCACGATATTTCCATCCGCGTCTCGCACATCGGCGAGAATTGATCGACGATGGGATTATTTATAGCCGCGGCAGGTTTAAAATAAAGCGCGCGGCACTTTTTTTTTTCCAGCCGACAAGATTCGTGTCACGAGTTAACGGGCGGCGGCAGCGGCGATGCTTCGCGGCGATGCTTCCCGGCGCTGCTTGGGAAATTTGTCGACGCACCTGACACTCGCGGGGCGATACGCTCGATAACGCGCTTTCTCCGCGTTGCAAAAGGACGCGTCGTCCGCAGGAGCGTCTCGTCGCGAGCGACAATTCTCCCTCGCGCTCGTTCATTCACGTTCGAAAGTATCGGCTCCTCCTGTCTCAACCGATCAGCAGATCTCTCACGCCGATTAAGCGCGTTAAACGACTTCCAAGTCCAGTCTCGCACCCACGTCATTTCTACTAGCTCGTCCGACGAAGATCGCTGGAAACGAGACTTTTTCGAACCGGACTTGTGTCTCTCGCGTTTATCGCGAACGTGAAACTCTGCTGTCGCGCGTCGTCGCCGCTCACGCACACCGTCCTTCCTGTCGGGACACCCGGTACACGCGCGGTATCCCCGTAACCGATCCGTACCATCGACGCTCGATACCCGTCCCTGCCATACGCCTCCTCCTCTCTCTCTCTCTCTCACGTAATCCGCGCTTCCTTTTGTTACGTACCGCGTGACTGTTACACATTGCACCACCACACACGCGTGCCGCGCGTGGCGTGGCGTGGCGTGGCTTAGCGTGGCTCAGCACGGAGAACAACGCGACCCCCCTCGCGGGATTTTTTATGCGGGAGAAAATATTACCCAACGAATATCCGCGGCGTCACGGTCGAGAGGCTGGGAAGGCGGACCCGTGCAACGTTGAAAGGTGCACACGCGGACAGATCGATGCATCCCGCGACGATGCACCGCTCTCACAATAGTTTTCGCACCCCACGTTTCAGCGCTTCCCCCTCGCGCGAAACGCAGCCGTCCGGAACCGGCGATTCTATTCGGTGGGCGAGGGTCGAAACGAGCGTCGCCGATGCGGAAGGAGCGCGTGCACGGCGTCCAAGATGGAACGGTCGTTTGGTCGAGATGAGCAAGTTTACGCGGACAAACGTGCGCACCGGCGCGGCCTTGCCGCGACTCTCGGTTTTGGGGGGCGCCGATAACGGAGCGTAAACGTTACCGCGCGCGCGAGCCAAGTCGCCAATTGCGTCGCCAGTCCCGAAGGATAGAACTTGCCTTCGAATGTGCCCCCGAGTCGCGCTTACCGATACGATTGAAAATCGTCGCGAGGCGCGCGCGCGCGCGCGCGCGATCGGCCGGCTCCTAGCTGCGATCCCGCGGGAGTCGGGAGTCGAGCCGGCGGCGATGTCGGCGAGTGGCACACTTACCTACGATACGACGAGAGAGCAGCCTCCGCCGTGTACGACGCACCAGCGCAGGACGAAGCACGGCGCGCGGCGCGCGGCGAACAATGACACGGACGATCGGCGGGAGGAGGCGGGAGGGAACAGGGCTTGGTTCTCCGCAGCCGAGCCGAAGCGAGAGACACCGTAGCGTAGCACGTATAAACAACTCTCCGTCCCCCTCTCTCTCGTGCTCGCCAATTCGACAGGTCTGTTCGGCGGGTGGTCGGTCCTTCGGATCACGAGACGACGCCGTACGGGACGGGGGCCACGGCCCTTGTTGCCCGCGCCATTTTCAAATAGTCCCTGAAGAGAGCGGCGACGTTGAGAAATTGCGTATCGCGAGTGTGACGCGACGCGGACGCCGCCCCGGACGAGGACGCGACAGATCCCTCGTCTCTCTCTCTCTCTCTCTCGCCCCGCTGCGCCCGCCTTCCTCCTATTTCGTACCGCACGCGACAGATCGACGAGACGACGACGACGACGACGACGAGAGCGGATCGCGCCCAGCAGCAGCGTTACTGCACCGAATACCACCGCGGCACTGCCCTCGCTGTTCCTACGCGCCCGCCGTCATGGCCGACCGCGACTAGGAAAAGCGGAGTTTCTCTCGTGACGCAATCGGACAAGCACGCCCCGTCTCGCCCGCGTTTTCTCCGTCAGGCGGCGCCGCGCGACGCGCCGCGCGCTCGATCCCGCGGACTGCCTTTTTATCCCGAGCGTATATATCGAGGATCGATAAATCCACGCCGTTTGAATTTGAAACGTAGCGATCTCTCGCGCATTTCTCCGCGCCACACTCGCCACGCAATAAAATTTATTAATCCTACTTTGTACAGTCAGTTCGCTTAGAAAAGGACCAAAACCCATAGTCGAAACGTAGCGAGTCTTGAACATAAAAATTGCCAGATACGGTCAAACAAACTTTTCATGTTGTTCATTATTGCTGACGACCCCGAAGATTATTCTTGTTATAAAATAAGTTCAACTATTTATCTTTCTATCCTTTACTTTATCACCGTACATTTCTCACACTCATTTCCGCGAACGTTGATTGCGATCGAGTGCTCGATTCTTGAATTCACTCGGTGAAAGAAAACTTGGCAAGTCGATTGGCTGTTCGACCAATGACTCGTGCAACTTTTCCGTAATACGTTTGTCATGCGAATGAATCCAAAAATCGGGCCCCAGTGACATTACGCCCGTATCAGATTACGGATTGAGATTGAGATTAGAGGCTTGTTTTCTGTTGCTACACTAGTGAACTAGTGCAATAAATTGGAGTAAGACAAGCATATTTTTTCTCATTAGTCCCAGTCTACAATAGAGATTTAAGCCCTAAGCCTTAAGAA